ATCCTTCTGATTCTTATGGAGTTTTGCTTAGCTTTAAACGCACAAAATGTTTGAATCAAAGTCTTGGGAAATAGTTAAAGAAAATGGCTATAGGAAGATTTTTTCCTCTCCTGTAAAATTTTTAAAATGGGACTTAGCAACTTTTCTTTCTAAGTTAGCGATATGTATACTGCATCAGCTGCTTAGCACATATGTATACCATAGAAATATTAATACTGTTGTTGTGCATTTTGGCTGAATATCACAGCAGTTATCATTTTGCTACATACATCTATGTATGTAATTTACCAATTGATCGTAAGAACTTGAAATCGTTCTATAGCCCTCGTTTTCTTGAGACATCATCGCAAACATCCTGAGATCTCCTTTCGGTGGCTGAATCGATTGGTGGCAAACTGGGATCCTAACTGAATCCTTTGAACAAACAAGGGAAATTAGAATTTCGTCCCTCCTTACTTTGACTTAAACCCTTTATTAAAATCAACAGTCAGTATACAATATGAAGGAGCTAAACATATTAATATGTATGTATATGTTCAGCAAAATCAATGATGGTTTACCATCATAATTTTATGTACGCTCCGGGAATGGAATTGATGACCTCTGCTCAAAAGTAAACGACTATCTCTCCAGCCTTTCTCGCTTCTTCACTGCAAGGAGCCTAACACTCTCCCCAACGAAATCAACGGTGACCCTCTTCACCACCTCGACGAAGGAGGTCAGGCTAGAATTAGGTATACACGTCGATGGAACACCAATACCGACTGTAAATAACCTGAAAATTTTAGGGGTCACCTTCGATAGCCTGCTCTCCTACTCCATGCACACAACCGCGGTTGTCAATAAAGTACAGAGCCGCAACAAGGTCCTCAAGTCGCTCGCCGGCAGCACTTGGGGCAAAGACAAAGAAACGTTGCTGGCAACATACAAGGCAATTGGCCGGCCGGTTCTAAACTATGATGCGCGAGTTTGGACGCCGGGGACTAGTTGGACGCAGTGGACGAAGCTACAGACTTGTCAGAACGCCGCACTCCGGACAGCGAGCCATTAATGACATCCATAGAGAGTCAGTCACCACCTACCTCGACTCTCGACCTATGAATGCCGTAATAGGAGCCCAATCACCGCCTGTAGAAGAGACGGAGCTGCAATTGCCAAGAGAGACCCGCGATACCCTGGCTCAATTACGGTCTGGATACTGTAGCCGCCTCAACAGCTATCTGTCCAGACTCGACCCCAATATCCCCAATGAGTGCCCGGCATGCGGAAAACCCCCCACGACACCAACCACCTCTTTACATGCCAGCTCAATCCGACTCAGCTAACACCCCTCTCCCTCTGTTCCGAACCCATTGAATCAGCTCGTTTCCTGGGCCTCCCGTTAGTTGAGCTTGACGAAAATGATTGAACGTAGACCCGAAAAAAGCGGGGCTTAGTAGTGCCGCTACAACAACAACATGGTTTACCATCATTTGTTATTGGAAAACCGTTAACTGCCAGCAGTTTTCGTCTAACTCTGCTAAATATCACATCAGAAAAAAACTTTTTTAAGTCTTCGCATACCCATCTAAGTTCACTCAAATAAGTATTTTTGTTTATAATCTAAACCTAAGTAAAGCAAGCTGAGGTATGCCGGTACCAGATAAGTATACTTTACTAAGATCTGCTTTCATGTAAACCAAATTTACTCTGATCAACACTTTGGATAGATTAATTCAACAATGAATGTGTTCATCAGCGTCACAACTGTTCCTAAAGCAAAGATCACACGATTTCCACATTTGTACATTTTGGCACTCACAGAGTGGTGTTCTCTAGAAATTTTTATCGAAAATGAGTTCAGCTTGAAAAAAAATTTCCAAACAACACCACTCTGTAAGTGTGAAAATTTACACATGTACAAACCGTGTGGTCCCTACGAACCACTTTATACATTTATTTTAACAGAGCCCGAATTAATTCTGACAAATACCAAGCTCTTAATTATATATATCAATTCAAAGTATAATAAGGAAAATTTATTAATTTATTGAACAAATCGCTTATTTAAAGAAATTTCTTGCTGTCTATACACTGGCTCTAACATTGAAAATCTTAACTGGATTTACAAGACCTGCCTTGGGTTAAACATTTCACAAGTATCGAGTAATTATTCGTATCTTAAACTGTTAGAAAAATACAGTTTATGAATGGTTGTCCTCTGCATACTTAAGAAATGATGCTATCAATAGAGCCCTAACTAGAGAATCTTGCTAAGAAAGGTTGGCGGCGGCAGGTTAGCTCACGCAGATAACCTTCCGATATAACTCAATGTAGGTAAGCTTCATCACTGGGCTTGTAATTAGTGAGAGAGGGGTTCAGAATGTAATGTATGAATACATGGAGGTTAGAAGTCTTGAGGAGATCAAACGAAGATAGGCACACGCGATATGTACTGGGCACTCACTAAAAGGCTACAGACTTGTTAATGGTTTACCACTAGCATTGGCTTTGAGCCGTACCCTCACATATCCATGTATTTTATTTTTATACCCGAGCGCGAGCGATAATTTTGTTCACATAAGGGTTGTTTGTAACAGGCAAAACGAATCGAGAAAGATATAGGCAAATGTATACATAATTGATCAGAATGAAAAGAGAAATCGATTAAGCGGTGACTGTCTGTCCGTCCGTCCGTCCGTCTGTGCATACGATAACTCGAGTAAAAATTGAGGTATCTTGACGAAACTTTGTACGTGCACTTCTCTCGGGCGTAGGACGGATGGTATTGAAAATGGGAAAAATCGTACAATAACCACGCCTACCTCCCATATATCGGTAATTTTCAGAAATACGAAAACTGCGATATTTCAGTAACTACTGAAGATTATTCACTCAAAATTGATATTTACAATAATTTTAAGACGAAAAATAAGAATATTATAAAATTTTGGAAAATGGGCGTTGCCACGCCCACTTATGGTTACATGTGTGTAACTTGGTGACCCCTGTACCAATTTCTTCCAAACTTGGCACAGTTGTTAGCCTTGCTACAGCATACCAAATGGCCGAACATTTTTACAATGGACAACGCCCACATCCCATATAACGGTAATTTAGAGAAATAAGAAATATTCGATAAACCAGTAAATATTAAAGCTAATTTATTCAAAATTGATGCTTGCAACTATTCTTTACCAAGAAATATGTTTATGGAAAATGGGCGTGGCACTGCCCACTTATGTTCACATATATGTATCTCGGTAACCGTTCTACCAATTTGTACCAAACTCGGTACGGTTATTGTGTTTGCCACATAAGAGCAAAACGTTGAAAATTATTGAAATCGGACTAAAATTGAGGCCACTTTTCATATAACGGTAATTTTATGCTTGAAACTTCAATATTTCGAAATTTAAGGACGCTAATTTACTCAAAATTGATACACTTCGGTTTACCATGTAGCGGTAGCTTTCAGAAAGGTGAAAATCATATATTTAATACTTGCGCCGGGTATTTAATGTTCGGCTCCGTCCGAACTTAAACTTTCTTACTTGTTATTCATTAATTTATGGATTTGCATGTGCTGATCAATATGTTTAAATTTTCTAACCTCAAAGTCGTTAGGCTAGCGAAGACCACAATATGGGTATTCATGGAAATGCATAAATGCCTCGTAAGAGAATGAACCTAGTAAATAAATAAATTTTCCATACAAAATTAAGTTTACGATGGATTGCCCTAATATATAAAATGTATATGGAAAAATAAAGAAAAGCACAGCATTTTAAAGTTGTAATTTTCATAGACTTGTCCAGTCTATAGCTTAGATTAAAATCGCTTTAGTACTTAATTAGTTCAACAGAGCGAGCGTTACCTCTCTGAGGGAACAGATACGGTTCTAATGGCAATTGTAGAAATCAGAAAATTCATAGCCCACTAAATACTATCAATTTGTACAAGTATCAAGGGTTCCTTCAACGGACACTACAATGTCAAAATACAAGGAAAAAGTAATAATGGATGAGAACACTATAAATGAGCTTCGGTCGCTGTAAAAGAACTTGACCGAATACATAAAATGCTTAGAGCAACTGTTTCAGCAATTCTGAAGAAAAATGTTATGGTTGAGTGGGTGAGATTTTTATTTGTATGTATGTTTGCGTGTACATTCGAAATAACTATAGTAGGCACGTTTCGCATAACAATGTAGTTTGTACCTAACCATTTTTTAATAATATACATACGTCAGTGTATATAAATATATGTGAAAGATATATGGATTCATATGTTTGATTATGTACAAATACATATGTCCATCTATGCATATATTCGAGTGTGTTTCGTAATGGAATTTGCTTGCCATGTACTGTTTGTCGGCAGTTTTAATGGCCCTATTTGAATTTGTATGTGTAAGTGTAGTGTGCTTTGTGTTTCATTGTTGCAGCTATTTTTATTATTGTACGGGTGTGGCCCAAAACTTTTTAATGATTTAACTAACAAAACTTTTGCCTTTCAACTTTTCTTTTCCATTCCATATCCGCCAACTTAACTCGAATAACTTAAATAAATTCAACACGACTTCATGCAACTCAACACATGCACACATGACGACAATATGGTTATATTTGCGGCTAACAATTTATACTTTGTCTAAATTTTTTATTTATTTCTTGCTTACTTGTTTGCGCACAACATTGTTTTCATTTTGATTAAATCTGGATTTTTTACGCATAATCCTTAAATTTTATTTATGTCTATATTTGTCGTTCTCAAATTCTTAAATTTATTTCCTTATTGTTTTCTTTACTTCTTTTTTTATTACTGCTCCTTATAACTCTGTCATCGCCAAATTATCGCACAACGCCTAACAATATGCAACGAAACGTTTCCAAAACCAACCAACCAACCAACCAACTAACCAAATAACCATCGTCATCAACGCATTCGTTGCAACTTCATCAACGTAACCTCCATCGAAAACAATAATAACAACAAATGAACTCCGCATCGCCTGGCAGTCGAACGAAATGCGAAACTCACCAAAGGAAATTGGCGTATTTAATGAGAACGGAAGGAACTTTGTAGCCACAAAGGATACTTCGAGGGATTTCAGCAATTCTCAAGATAATACCGACCGTGGCAGCATGAGCGACCAAGCCTTTGCCTGTTCAGCAAGTTCGGTGGAAAGTTTACCCAGCGCTTCCGGTTCAAGTAAGTTTATCCATTCATATGCCCGCCAATAACGATCTCCTTCAACCCACAAATAGTTTTGTTCACTTTCAATTTTTTCCCAAATCTAAAACCGCAACTGCAACCACTTAGCTACGTGCCATAAATACATATGTATGTACATATGTATATCTAAGCCACAACCATCACCCCTTTTTTTAATGACTGGAGTTGTGTGGCCTCCATTTCTCTATTGCTCTACTCGTTTCCTTTGAGCTCGTATAGTGCAGTTACATATTGTTCTATTAACTGTTTATAGGTACTTCGCATATTTCTTACAAGAAAAAATAAAACTGTTAACCGAACATTGGCAGTAAATATCTACTACCTTCAACTATCCTCATCCTGCTGTTTTTTTCTGGAACAAATTCGCTCTCTAGTTCTTGTTGTACTCGCCGTTATTTAAGTGAGTTTTTCGGCAAGCTTTATAAAAACGTGGAAATTCTTCGAACTTAATGAATTTTTAATGTGCTGCTGAAAGTGGAAAAGTTTCCTTAAAACATAAAAACCCGAAAGCAAAATAAATAAAACAAAATGAAATTTGTGTAAAGCGACTCCAACTACAAGGGACGAATGTCGGTACATAACGGTAAACAGATTCAAAGCATTCAAGTTCATATGCGTTTCAACGATTGTGTGAGCTACATGTACTACCAATGCAAATTGGTGGTTGAAATTTGTTGAATGCTCTTACGCACACACAAACGCGTGTGCAACATTGGCGCCCATATACTCGTACATATTTAGCATCAACAAATTTTGACTGCTGCTGAACAATTTTAATGAACAAAACTTTGCATATTCGATGCGGCAAAAACAAAACCTTTAGGATGAATAACAAAAACAATAGAAAGCAATCAAAATCGAATATGATATTGAAAATAAAAATTCCTTACGAACTTAGGAAATTAAAGAAAAATTCACCCTTTAATTGAAAATAAGAACTGCACGAAAGAAAATTCGCTTAGTTAAGTTTGCACGTAGCTAACATTTTTTAATTAGTCATCACTGTTGTTTTTAAGAGATGATTGCTGAGAGCTTAACGTAGAGAAGTTTGTCGTGATGAAATATTTTCAGAACTGTTCAAAGATAGAGTAAAAAATTAAAACGTAAAAGTCATAAAGTTTGAGCTACATAAAACAGCAGTGCAGGCGGCGCGCTGGAAGCACGGTTCTAATCACTTAATTAGCTCAATCAATCTGTCGATTTACGAAAAAACCGAAGACCATCTCACAGTGGTTAAAAATTTGCATTTTGTATTCACAATTCCACGGGGCCCTTATTCTTTCACTCAATTTAATTAAAAAAAAGCTAATACCAGTTGAGCCCGATTTTTGAATTTTTGTGTTTCTTCTTGTTGCAGCTCACTAAATAAGGAACTGATTGAGATTATACTTAGTTTAGACAAGTGGGTGGTGATTTAATGAGTTATATACAGTTTTGCAGCAAGAGGGCAGTGCCTTTCTTTCCAGTAATTTGTTAACGCCTATTGTAAGTCCATTGGTGCGCCCATAAAGGCATTTCGGACTATGAAATACATCACTAGTTTCTAACAAATAGTCGGCATATTCGTTTGTTTGACTTCTTGGAACTTTGAAGTAACTCTAAAAAAAAAACGGAGAGTTTTCGTACTGTAAAACGTTCTGCGCACGTTACTGCTATAAAATCTCAAATTTTACGATGTAAAGGTCAGATCGACTCAAATGGCGTTAGTGTTGCGAATTTTAAAGGCTTCTTTACTGACCCTTGAGGGATGAAAATAATTGTCATGAGAATACTCTCATTATCACCGCCTAATTTGTAATGAGAGTGGATAATTATTCTTATCGTTTACCACATTTTTAACCTCATGTAATAAATATGATCTGTTTCCTATGCTACACAATGTCCTTTTTCTTTTACGTTTAAACTGCTTTTGTAAAACGAACTCTTTTCCTTCGCCTTTCACTTCAAACACAGGTACTCAAGCGCTGGTTCGTCCTGGCAGTCCACAGAGCTCTATTTCTACCGAGGACCGCACTTCGTTAGCACCAATTTGCAAAGCCAAAGCACTTGTCGATAGTATGCCGAATCCGTACGATAAGGATGCACTCAAATTTAAGGTAAGTAAGCAGATCAGAAGCGAGCAAGCTGACAAAACGGCTGGCAGTGTTGTCAAGTGATGGTTGGTTGTCGATGACTGAATTTTGAATGCTGACCTTCAGTTAGTGCTGCAAGCAGAATTGCTATTCGCCTACAAACATACATATATACAAATATACATAGATGCATACTATGCTTACTTACTCGTATTTAAATAGTCGATATACTTCTAAACCAAAAACTCTTTGAAGTGGCAGCCTTTAATTTTAGGCTTTTAATGTTTTGCTAAATTCCTTACCACTCCGACAGTGACTACCACTTCTAATGCCGATGAATTTCAAGGCTTTAGAATTTTGGGAGACAAATCTTGAGTGCACTCCACCACTTTAAAGTGTTTTTATTCAACAGAAGCGTAAAGCTTTTTGTTTTATACAGTTGTTCTATTTTCTTTAATATATTTCTGGCAATAAACGAAAATTGTTTTACTTCAGTATATTCCCCTTGCATACTGACAGGTTCTTTTATCGTATTCACTTCTTTGTGCTCTTTACAGAAAGGTGATATAATCGATGTGCTGTCAATGAATGCCTCTGGCATCTGGAAGGGTCGTTGTCACGGCCGTCTCGGACACTTTAAATTCATCAACGTTGAAGTGCTGCCCGAACGTCTGAAGTCATCAAATAGCAAAATTCTTGGTGCGGGTGGTTTGGGCATCGGCGGCGTAGTTGGCGGTGTTGGCATGGGTGGTGGTGCCAGCATGCGGCACACTAGCAATAACGGCCCAAGTTCGGTAGAAGATTTACTCTTTCGCATTGGACTAAAGGAGTATACGTCGGTCTTCGTTTTGAATGGGTAAGTGGCGTATATATATATGTATGTACATATGCAGGTATGAAGTTTGTGAGGAAAACCAAAAAAAAAATCATTGTACTTGTTTATTTTTGAACCCTTAATTCACGATTTTAAATCGATATAAAAAGGAAATGGGGACCAACTTTTACAAATGCTTTGGTATTTATCCATATTTTGACCTCCTTTAAATAATACAATTGGCCTCATTCGCATCACGTTTTGAGTGTTGCACTGTGTAATTAATCGATAAAAGCAACATCTACTTTAATGCTGTTATAACCAAAAACTGGAGAAAAATAGCTTTAATGCTTTGAATTCACATATCGATGTTCCTCAGCAATAACAACATAATTCTAAATTCAAAAAATATAATCCCTTATTGCTTTTAAGTGGCTCATTTCTCTAATCCCTTGTCTAATCCTTAATAAATTAAGACACTATTGAAGTATATGAGCGATCTGTGTTCATATGGCATTGTAAGTCGGTAGGCTGGCTATAATAAAATGCACCATCCCGCTAATTCTTTACTAAGGTCATCCACCCGACTTAAGCTTTTATGCCATATGACCACAGATATGAACTTATATGTAAGTACATAAATTTATTGTTTACCTATATCTATCCATAGAAATTACCTAGTATAAACTAAAATAGATATTTTCTGAATACGCTAATCTTGAAAACTACGTATTAGATTTCAATAAAATTTTCATAGGCTATTCTTTGGACATCTTTTTTCATATTTACAACCACGACACAACTTCATTCAAGAGCCCACGAGCGTTGCAATCTGGAGCATAACATCAAGTTGAACCGACGGTCGCAACGTTTATAGCTTGCTTTATAATAGGAATACCTTTTACAGATGGTTTGTCCGCCTGGTGGCTCCGGAGTCGCGATATTTAGAAAATTTTTATATGTGGAGCGATTTAGTTCAAACATAGTCGCATATTACCCTTATAATAGGAAATAATTGCCGATGGGGTCGAAATATCTAGAAAATTTTTGTTTGTTGGCCGATTTCAATCAAACTAATTTTGCAAAAAAAGTTTACTCTCTAGGTGGCGCTTGTAATCGGATGAAAAGTTTGGAAATATGTAGAGAACAAGCAGAAAGAAATTTATTTTTAATACTATGTACTTTCGTTCAAAATCTAGTTTTTGTATGGAAGCCGCCAAATCACTCCCTAAACTAATATTGGAATTTTCAAGTAACTGCTACAACATTGACCTAATTACAGTCTTTAATAAAATTCAGTATTTTAAAGGAGTTATGGCTAAATCAAGTTAGATTTCTATTACTTACACTCTGTAAAGAAACAAATAAAACAAGTAAGAAAGTCTAAGTTCGGGTGGAGCCGAACATTAAATACCCGGCGCAAGTATTAAATATATGTTTTTTCACCTTTCCGTAAGCTACCGCTAGATGGTAAGCCGGGGTGTATCAATTGTGAGTAAATTAGCGTCCTTAAATTTCGAAATATTGCAGTTTCAAGCATTTCTGAAATTTACCGTTATATGAAAAGCGGCCGTAATTTTGGTCCGATTTCAACAATTTTCAACGTTTTGCTTTTATGTAGCAAGCACAATAAAAATACCGAGTTTGGTACAAATTGGTAGAACGGTTACCGATATATATATATGTGATCATAAGTGGGCGGTGCCACGCCCATTTTGCAAAATTTTACCATAAACGTATTTCTTGGTAAAGAATTGTTGCAAGCATCAATTTTGAATAAATTTGCTTTAATATTTACTGATTTATCGAAAATTTTGTATTTCTCTAAATTACCGTTATATGGGATGTGTGCGTGGTTATTGTCCGATTTTTTAAATTTTCGGCCATTTAGTATGCTGTATCAAGGCCAACAACTGTGCCAAGTTTGGAAGAAATTTGTGCAGCGATTACCAAGATATACACATGTAACCATAAGTGGGCGTGGCTATGCTCGACCCTATTAAGCTGGAATTTCAGGGTAGCATTTTATATATTTATAAGGAAAATTTGAAAGTTAGGGGGGGGCTCGAGCACCGCCCTGCACATACCTGGCTACGCCCATGGTTGCAGAGGGGCGTTGTTTGGAAATATTTTATTGGGCTGAACTGGTTGTTGAGGAAAATTTTTAGACAACACCCCTCTGTGATCAACCAAACAAGCTTAGGTTTATGTTCGTTTAAAAAATACTTTTTCTGTTCAATAATTTCTAATCACTAACAAGGAAAAACCAAAAATAGCACTGTTTAAAAAAATCCTCCAACATTTTTTTAGTGTACACTTCAAAAAAATAAATACACAGGTCCACAAAAAAAAATGGTCGTGATGAAGCAAAACGGAGTCCAGATTCGTGTTCAGCGACCCCAAAAACATATCATAGACTAGGTTTGGTCAAAACCTTTCATCGATTTTTTGTTTAGCTTTTTATTTAACTGGCCGTAAAGCTCCATAAATCAGCTTCTATAAATATATAAGTGCTGTTTTTGGTTTTTCCTTGTTAGTGTTTAGAAATTATTGAACAGAAAAAGTGTTGGTTGGAAAAGTGGTTGATCACAGAGTGGTGTTGTCTAAAAATTTTCATCAAGAACCAGTTCAGCCTAATAAAAAATTTCCAAACAACGCCCCTTTGCAATTAGCAAAAACAAACCTGTACAAAATGAACATTTGAAAACGCAATTAATCGTTGGCGCTGCAGTTGCTAATAGTTAATAATTATTTAGTTTATTACTTAGCTTCTATTACTTCATAAAAATATGTACAAAACACAGTTTTACATGTTAATTTGTGCAAGTATTCTAATGGCAGTTGTTTATATTTTTTCTAGATATGAGGACCTCGAACTCTTTAAGGAACTGGAACCAGCTGACTTGGATTACCTGGGTATTATTAACCAGGAGCATCGTGCCAAATTGCTGACAGCTGTGCAGTTGTTGCACGATATTGAATGTAAGTACATAGATAAGTACAGATATAAATACATATACGTACTAATTTATATATGGGTGTTTCCAGCGGAAGGTCCACCACGACAAAAAAAAATAAAAGTTTTATATCTAACGTATTTACCGGCCGATTTGTCTGCTTTTTAAAATATATACTGGCTATGTAAGAAGAATAATGTTTGCATAAATTGGTCTTCCTAGGTGGTGCCATGGTCGAGATATTTCGAAAAACCGTATTTATGGTCCGATTTGGTTCGAATTTGGCGCATGTGGTTGAAACATAATAAATCATAGATTTCTAATAAATTGACCCTGAATTGGCGTTGAAGTCAAAATATAAAGTATATTCTACATAAAATACATGTTTTATTTGCGTTGAAAATTCATTTAAAAGCAATATTAACAAAAATATAACGATGGAAATTTATGTCACGTCACGCCACGTCACGTCACGTTTCACACTTGGGGTTGTAAAAGAGAATTGAAACAATTTGCATTAATTCCAAAAACTCTAAAAACAACTAGAATTGCTCCAAATCATATCAAAATAGGTTTCATCAAAATAGCCATCCACAATTCGCAGAGTTTTGCGATTTTGTAAGAAAAGAAAAAATCGAATTCCATTTTTTGTCACGTAACGAACCTCTCTTTAAATGCTTATATTTCAGGACCAAGCAGTTCGATTGATTTAATTTTTCGGTTAAATATAGAGCTAATTACGTGCTATACAATGGCCCAAAAAAGTTAAAGAAAACAAATGGTATTCCTTTTTTGTATCACGTTGAAATCGTACGACTGTCACGTGCGCCACCATAGATAGATAGATATATAGTTGGTTGGGTATGGCACTGCGACCAGTAGGTCTATTGTGCCCCTAGCTCATCACAATACATCAACCAGCCCCAGAGTGTCTATAAATTTCATAATAGACCCCGGGGACAGTGAGTGTATGTGCTCCTCTCTTGGCCAGATATGCCCTATGCTCCTATACCTCCTGCGTGCAACGGCATCACACTCCATAAGAAGGTGTAGAGGGGTCTCTTTGGCTGCATCGCAAAAGCGACGCAGGTCGCTGGACCAGATACCTAATTTATGCAGGTGCCCTCTGAGCCTACAGTGGCCCGTCAAAAAACCTGTAATAATCCTTAGTTTCTCTTTTGGGAGATCCATGAGAAGCCTGTATCTTGACAGATTGTAACCTCCTAATAAGCTTTTTGCCTGACGTTGGCCCATGGTGCCAAGCCAGTGTAATTCCCTCAGTTTGCTGTTGTCCCTTCTGAGCATTTCCTTTATGGTGTTTGGTCCTACTGCCAGAAAGGGCTCAGGTCCTATCGGGGTCGAGGAAGCGGCCGTTCTGGCCAGATGATCAGCTTCCTCATTTCCTGCGACCCCCATGTGCCCTGGTACCCACATTAGTTGGATATCATTGACCTCCGCCAGAGCATTGAGCCTCTCGACACACTCCCTAACCAAGGAGGACTTGATCTCGAATGATGCGAGGGCCCTTAATGCCGCCTGGCTACCACTTAGTATAAGTATCCTTTCATTCCTATAGTTCCTGCGAATATTAATCTCAGCGCACATACTGATGGCATAGACCTCCGCTTGAAAGATGCTAGGGAAAGTCCCCAGGGACACCGAAAGCTTCAGCCTAGGGCCGTACACGCCTGCTCCAATCCCCGCGGGTGTTTTAGAGCCGTCCGTGTACCACTGTATTGTGCTCGCCTGTATGTGACTCTCCATAATAGAGGTACACCAGGTCGCCTTGCTATAAGTGTGGGTCCTGAAATTTCTCTTGAATATCACCTCTCTGTTAATATCGTCCCTGGGGAACAAAGCCAGAGGGAGCTGGGTGCCTCGCTTGTCCCTGTTCCTAGATGATAACACCTTGCCTTTGCCGAAGCCCTCTCTCGCAAAGTTAAGGAGGGTTCGCTTTGCAGCCTGTTCAATTGAGAGATGCAGTGGCTCGAGTTCCAGCATTACCTCTAGCGCTGCCGTCGGGCATGTGCGCATTGCTCCCGTAATGCAAACACATGCCAGACGTTGAATCTTGGAGAGGGTCTGCCTCACCGTTCCTATAGTAGTCCTGGAATACCAAGCCACCGCACCATAAGTCACTATTGGTTTCACTATCATTGTGTACATCCATCTGAGGATCCTCGGAGTGCACCCCCAGGATTTACCCGCCAGACGTTTGCACACCATCATCGCTCTCGTGGCCTTAGAGGTGACCACATCAACATGGGCCCTCCACAGAAGCTTGGAGTCCAGGGTAAGCCCCAGATACTTAACCTCTGTGGCGACACTGATTGCGACCCCGTCCAAGGTCAAGTTCCTCATCCCCTGGAGATTTCGTTTCTTGGTGAAGGGGACTATGGCTGTCTTAGAAGGGTTGATATTTAAACCTACGTCTGTGCACCACCTTTTCGCGCCACCATGGGAATGCCCATATTCAAAATAATATGGGTATTCATGGAAACGCGTATGCCTCGGTACCCCGTAAATAAACCGATTTGTTATACAAAATAAAGTAATTTTACGAGGGTACGAGGAATTTGTGCGTTTAGATGAATTGCCCTAATAATTATTAATAAAAAGTCTAACGCAAGTAAATATTTCGACCTAGTAACTTTTCTCCCATGTACAGTTGCGTCTAATTTTGCTTTTACAAATATTTACTAACTACTAATTTTCTATTAACATTTCGTTTTTGCTACAGCTTCCCATTTTTCTCAAACAGGTTCCGATGGCGATATCGCCGGCTCCAGTTCGGAGAATGACGAAACGCGCCTAAATAACATCAATAAAAAGCATGGCACATCACCATTCGGCCGTCGTCATTTCCCACGGGACTCGGGCTGCTATGAAGGCTCTCCTGTGCCCACCTCACATACACCTATACAGAACATACCATCCACCGATGAGTCGAACAGTTTGGACGATGTTGTTACCAAGTGTTCCAGCGAGATCATGAAGCGCGTCGAGAGCGCACGTCGGCAAAAAGAAAACCCATTCAAAGCCGGACTATCGGCCCGTGTTGGTAAGAAAGCGCTGTTGGGTGGCAGCCTTATGGGCGAAGACACGTTGACGCGCGGCGGCGGTCTTAGTGAGAAGTCAAGCGATTCGGGCGTGAGCAGCAGTTCGCTGTCTTCGGGTCCGATGAAGAATAGCACTTAACACTTACCCACCATACTCGCCCACGAGCTGATGCTCGGCGTCGGTCTGCCCGGTCCCGGTGTGGGCTTGGTTGGCGGCAGCATCGGCGGTGCGCTGGGTGGTGGTGGTGCCACATCACCCACCACATCTACCGCATCGGCGGGTATCGTTAGCTGCGGCAGTAGCGGTGGCCTAGCAAGCAGTATTGGGAGTGGCATACAGTTGGGCTCAGCTTGCAGTACACTACCGCACCCACCATCTTCCGCCGCTGCAGCTGCCGTCGTATCCAATGCGTTGGCAGCTGCATCGGCAACTTGCGGCGGAGTGGGTAGTGCAACGGCAAATTTAAATAGGAATTTAGTGATACTAAGAAACCATTTGCGTAAAAATACAAACACGGCGCCGACAGTGGCAGTGACGACAGCGTCCTCCCCTACTCCGACAACTCCGACTAATATGGGTATATTCAACGATGTGACACCGACCAATACCAATATTAATACACTCAGCAGCACAATCAGTATCGGTAACACCAACACCAACAATATCAATACAAATCTGGATAGAGATCAATAGCCCAACGGTAAAAAGGGTGAATGTTACAATGGAATTTTTGATTTGGTTTGTAAATTAAGTTATATTAATTAAAAGCAAAAATGTTGTGTAAACAATGGATAGTAGAGAGTAACTTGAAAATAAATATTTATGTATGTATGTAATTTTATGATTACTTAGCTATACTCATTTGAATATATAGATATGTATGTAAATTACTGTGATGATGCGTTCTAATGTGCTTCAGTTCAAATGTACAGTAAGTTAAAATTTACACAATAAATTAAACATATGAAGACATGATCACATACACACTTACACATATGCACATTGTATAAAATTCAACGCATATTTTGTATTTGTAATTTGAGTACTTCCTCAGGTGATGGCATTTAATAAATAACTATTAATTATTGTATATTTTTAGCAGCAATCCTTATGCAATCAAATTCAACTGCATTTATTTATGATGACACAAACAAGCAATGTCTAAATAATTAAACATTTTTTTAATCATTTTTATAAAACAAAAAATGTTAAAATAGCGTGCGTTGCATTCGAAAGACACTTTTTCATGCACTCATGCAAGATAGCATTCATATCCGGATATTTGTACAGTTGGGGTCGTTTTCAGAAGTAACCTTTAACTTTGAAGCTCACTTTATATTTAAAGTTTAGATGAAAAATAAAGCCATGTCTTAAGGAAGGCATTTCTATTATCGGTTTTTGACGTATGTAAGTTTCTTGGTTGTAAACCAGTTTAAAACCGATAATAAAATGCTTTACTTCAGACACAATCATAAATTGTAATGCAACCTTTAAATATAAAGTGAGCTTTAAACTTAAAGTTTACTTGAGAAAACGACCCTTAATGGTCAAATGATTAATAGACAACACATATGTGCATGTAGAGATACAAAACATATTTACTCAATGAAAACGTGATATTTCAATACGTCCATGACTTTGTTTTAGAGCTTAGCGTTACTTATGTATAGTTCGTTAGTACTAAAATAATGTTTTAATGTTTTTACTTTGCACTTAAGTTAATTTTTTTCATAATTTAGGAGATTATGCCACATTTCCCCTCAAAAACACACAACATTTTTTTTTTTATTACATTAAAAAAATAGTCATTAAATTTATTTCCACATGGCATTTTTTTAAATTCCTAGTGGAAATTCCGCATTAGTCTGTAAAAGAACCTGTAAGTATCTACAGCCAGATAGCCATAAGGGCAGAAATCGCTTTATGTCATACTTGTTTTATGTTCGATAATACCATTCCTGCATAGGCGACGGGCGACTTATATTTAGACGTGTGAGAAATGAAGCAAAAGCTGGCCAATATTCCAAAAATCAAAGTTGCCCGACTATTGCAAAACATGGTAATTCGTCAAGAAGAAAGTCCATTGCGTAGTGGATGAAGAGTATAAGGCACCCTGTTTTTGTATCTTCTTCACTAGAGCAATTTGAACTTGCTATTCTCACTGAAGTTTGTGCTGATTTTAAAATAGTGGTTAAAGAACTTAATTATTTTTTGCGAGATAGAGAGCGTTTCTGAAGGTGTCTTCAATAATCTAAGTCGTTAAATTTAAATTTTTTACACAAGTAAACATATCCAAAAATTAATTTTAAAAGCAGTCTCAAAAAAGAAATATATGAGAACATTTCTTTATTTGATTGTTGAAAAAGTTGTGATCGCTGGAGACCGGGCTTTTCTGCAATTTAAAGAGAATAGCAATAACAACGTACTTCAAGAACTCGAAAAGAAACTAACCAGATTCGTCGACGTCCTGTTGTAATTCACGATTGAATAGCGCGATAAAATAATAACAGTGCTCATTGTGTTGTGTGGAAAGCTTACACAGGGCAACGTTGATTTTGGTGCGGCAAATGCTAAAGCTATTTTGGTAAGACTTTTTTTGTACTTATTACAAATCCGTAAGTGTAAAGTTTCTATCAGGTTCAGATTTTGGAAAAAAAAACCAAGTAAAATTGTGAAAAAATCGCGGTTTTCGCAATATTTGAGAAGCTCTAGCAAAAAAAGAAAACGTGATAAAAGCTTGCACTTAGGCTTAAATTAAAGCTAGAGCTCTCAACTTATGTCCCTGAAATACCATCCCTGTACCTTAACCTGGTCTGGTAGTCAGTTATAGCCATTTTTTTTAACAAAAAAATATTGGAAAAAGAATTTTCAAGTAAGTTTTTTTTTCGTTAAATAAATGACTATAAGTGACCTGTGGGTCAAGATGCAGAGACGGTATACACGGTGGGCAGGAAGCGAAGATAGGTTGCATAAAAATGTCGACAAAATCTGAAAGCAGGGTTGTATTTGTTGATATCTTAAGGTTAAGAATCCGCTTAAATTGAAATCCTAGCTGCTCCTGTTTTAAAGATATCCACATTTTATATACTTCTGATAGGATATACATATTTGCAAAAGAGGAAGGCGTACTTCTCGATAATTAGAGCATATTTATACGAAAAGAAATCTCATACAAATCTGTTCCCCTTTTTTAACTCACTAAAACGGATCAAATCAATGTGAAACATTTTCATTTTTTCCTACCAAAAGAACAATTGATCGAGATTTATTGGGCGCTACCGGTATACAACTTAGATAAAACACCACAATTACCTTTTTCTGTAGCGTGAACTTTCTCATTACAAACACTTTCAATATCGCAATATATGTATGTATGTATACAATATTGTATGCTATATAATACGGTAGTAATTTTTTATTAAAGGTTTGTTGCTATAAGCAAGTAGCGCAGGCAAGTCGCACTGCACGTTTTGCATAAGCAATAGTTGATGATTAATATAAGTATGTACCTAAATACGTTAAAATGACATGCAAAGAGTTTTACAATTATAGCAAAAGCCAGAAGTTTTGAAACAAGCTCACAGCAACGAAACAAATGACTGATATTTTAATGTTACCTTGTATTTTTTTTTTTTTCGTGAAACCTAGATTACTTATAAGTACCGTGCCGTACAAAATTATTGGCTCGGAGACACTTTCATCTGATCACAATTTATAATCAGATCTTTTAGAAAAACGTTTAAAATGTAGCTTTTGAGCCAATTAGTAAAGTGCAAGTCTGAAGTTACCAGAAAATTTCGTTGATTTTTTGCAATTATTTATTTTTTGCTGACAGTGTCTTCCACATACAAAAAGTGTCGAACATTGTTTGTATGGAAGAAACTCTCAGTAAAAACAATACCAAATATATTGCCTCGTTCAAAGCCATGAGCAAAATCGTGAATACATGGTTTTCCGCAAAACAAGCGGATCTTAGTAATTTTGATAAAAATCTTAACGAACTCCGCACAGCTTTGAAAAGTACTGGAATTTCTCAAACTGTCAAAATCCATTTTATCCTTAAACATTTAAAGCAATCTATTTCTTTCTTCAATAACGATGGTTTAGGATTATGGTCCGAGCAGGCCGGGAAGTCAGTTCATAGGGAATTCATTAAATTCTGGGATAGATTCAAAATAAATATGATTGATAAACCAACTTTTGTGAGTCGCCTGAAGAAAACTGTAATGACATTTTCATTCCAACAACCAAGCCAACAAAAAAAATAAAAGGAAACAAAAAACAAATATAAAAAAATAAAGCAAGAAAAAAATATAAAAAATAAAACCAAAAAAAGAACAAAGAGGTGCAAAGTAAGTTGCCTCTACGTGGTGCGCCTTGGAAACGATTGAAACCGGCTAAAAACTTACATAAACTTATATTTTCACATAATATATATACACACATTTACTCACACATACATTGTTGAATATTTAATGCACAAGGATGTTTTTCTCTTTCGCAAAAGTCGGTCCTATCATAACTATGTAAAATGTGGATATCTTTAAAACAGGAGCAGCTAGGATTTCAATTCAAAGGGATTCTTAACCTAAAAATATCAACAAATACAACCCTGCTTTCAGTTTTTGTCGACATTTTTATGCAACCTATCTTTGCTTCCTGCCCACCGTGTATATACTTTGCTATAGCTCCCCAAATATAACGCCTTGAGTTTTGGAAAATTGGCGAATTTGCGGGCGGATTTTGTTTATATTAACACCTTATACTAGTATTCACAAAATAAGCTTGTGTTCCAAATTTGAGGCCTCTAGGTTGGTTTTTACTATAAATGGCCAGATTTTTCGTGATTTCTCCCACTGTGCCGTTATTTACTGGTTGCATGGAAGCAAGAAAGGTAAAAAATAAACAGGCTGATACGCTATACAAAATCGGGATAAGCAACTTTGACAGAGTCCAAAAAAGTATACCAGTCGTTTCACTTTTGCACCAACCTATGCTAATTGGAAATGACAAATAAAGACAACTGCTTCTCCACTTGGTCCTTCCTTCGCAGAAGACTCCTTCTTCTTCTACCAGCAGCGGTATCCGCATTGTACACTTTCCTGGCTGAAGGTTTTGTGTCTATTAGTATGAGATGATGGAGCGAGAGGAGCCGTTGTATTTTAAATCCCTGCACTATGTCTATATCGTTTTAAAGCTTTTACATCTCATCGTTACTTCGCCTGGGGTATTCGTCGTCGCCAACGTGCACAGGACCGTAAACTTTCCGGAAAATCATTCTGTCGAACACTCCAATGATCACCTCAGCGGATGTTGTCATTGCCCATGCTTCTGTGCCGTAGACCAGCAGGGGCATGATGAGTGTCTTTGATTTGTGTACGATGAGAAATGACTTTACTTCTCAAATGCCCACTCAGTCCAAATTAGTACTTGTTGTTGATTGTCCGTTGAATTTCAAACTAGTAATTTTTAATGGTTTTAATGCTAATTCCTAAATAAACGAAGTCGGTTGTCAGCGAAACCGGAGTCGGACTCATAAGGGTTGTTCTTTTTGACGAAAAAATTACAAATTCACACAGATAAGACCCAATCTGTAAGTTGACATGCTGCCTTTCACCTAATATGCTCAATACCACCTTATAACCGATGCTTATATAGAAGACTGATCCATCCGTAATTGACGCATATTTTGACAGGGCACACTTAAATTCCAGCCAAGCATCCCATCCCATCCCCAATTATCTTTCAATATTAGAAGTCACAATGACATCGAAGGCTAAATCCACATGTAGAGCATCTTGCAAGACAGCTAAGATATGCTTCGACTTTAACCCTGCTTTGGTAACCTACGTCTGCGGGACATATGCTTTTTAAAATTTTCGCGCTCTCTTTCACGAAATGAAGAATGAAATCGGTTTTTTTCGCTCTATAATTAATGAAAATTTCTAACATACATTTAAATAATAAATAGATATTTAAAGAATCTATATATGGCAAAAAAACTTGCATAAATTGAA